ATTAAATAATTCGAAGCAAATCTATGTCTCAAACTAATTAGTAGTAATAAGTAATCTGTCGTAAAGAAATTTTTTCTTTTTATGCAAAAAGAAATTGAGATTTTTCTTTCAATCGCTGGTGCAAATGATCGCGGAATCTGAAAGGAGGAATGATGTTTTTTTTTTCGATTTTATAGGCGATTTTATAGGAAAGCTGTCTACTCTCGAGCGTAAACTGCACTCAAAATCTAAACAAAGACTGAAAGAAGGGAAGACAAGTATGTAAAAGTGAATGTAGAGTAAAGTTCTCATTATTGTTATATCAATTCCCTGTCGAATTGCTTGCTCTTGCGGAAATAGCATTTTGGAAATGCATGGCACGGACGAATTTGTGTTGTCGTTTCATATACAAGTAGAAAAATAGTTTTCGATATATTATGGTCTTCCTGGGTTATACAAAAAATCAAATATCAGCACGGCGTATTACGTTGATTATTTGGAATCTTATTTATGAGGTTCCCCCTAAAGTTATTATTAGCAAATACCTAAACAAAATATCTAAATTAAATTATTTTTATATCTTGTAAACAAGTGTAAAAACCAGTTAATGTTGTAATTAAACTGGAATTAATGAACCTCATCAATAAGAATATAATAGATTGCATCAACAGGAGTAATCACCTTCACCGTGCATGGATAGTTTCACACTGGGTTTCTTCAAATGATTTAACTATATTTTATAAAATATAAATTTTTTATGTTTTTATTACAGGCAGGTGCGATTCCTACGTAAAGATCAGACTACTGCCGGAAGAGAAATTTGCCGAAATTAAGGCGCCAAAGACACACGTGCAGAAGGAAACGCTCTTCCCTCTTTTTGACGAAACGTTTAATATGTAAGTAAAGTAGTTAATTATTTCTTAAAGTTATTATATATAAGGTAAGTAGAAAATAGAACAATCTATTCACGAAATAATTGTACAATTGTACAATTTCCAGTTCCCTTACTCCGGAACAGAGAGCCATAGAAGACGCTATAGTGGCATTTGAATTGAAAGACAAGGATTTCCTCAGATCGAGATTTATGGCTGAAGCTTTCCTACCATTTAGCGAGATTCCTGACACTGAACCAGAAACTAACTTCACAACTTTAGAACAAGTTCATTTGAAACTTTCCCGTCCGATCAAAAAAAGTACGTATTATAGTAACAAAATAACAAGCTTTTGTATCATTTATATTTAAAGAATAACTTTTCATGGCTTATAATATATTCGGCAATTTAATTTTTGAATTTAAAGATAATATAAAACATATGGCTGTTATATGATATGCATATAATTTAATTATGTGCGCTTACTCCGTAAATTTCATATTAAAATAAATTAAAATTTTTATTTAAAGGTACGGATATCATTCGCGCATTGGAGCACCGAAAAGGAGATAATCAAGCGATGGACTTCGTTTCAAGACTCAATACTAAAGCAAACTCTAAATGATCTATGTGCAGCTTCGATGTAGATTTACATTTGCACAATTTTCGAAAGTACTCAATACAAAATATATTTAAGAAACTCAGTATAGGACGTATCAATGTTAATATGCCAGCGTTGCCTTACGAGAAGTCGTTGTAAAGTTTTTAACAAATGTGCTGTAGTCATTGCGCCATTATTTTCGTGGCGCGATGTTTACGAGTGTCTGACGGCTGTGCATTGTTTCGATTATTTTATACTTTCGAACAGATTACTGAGTATCGCATTTTTTTAAACTTTAAACAAAAAATTGTAAGGCTGAATAAGTGCTATTTGTGAGAAAATACTTCTATTTATTATAAATAGATATAGTTATTACGTTAAACAATTAAATATTTAGATACACTTTTGTAACTACACTTATGCTTCAACATATTACAAATTTGGAAGAATATTTTATATTGTATACGTGGAAGTATTGTTATGGAGCAATATACATGTACATAGATCCTAATAATAATAATTAAATAATTCAATAACGACATAATAATTCTTTTACCATTAGTATTATGTTTCTTATTAAACAAAACATTGTTTTTATTATAAATATTAATTATCATAAAAATATTCTTCATATTAAATCTATTGATCCGAATGAGATGGCAATTTAACTAATGACGAAACAAATTCTGCTACAAATATAAAGAATATTTATTTATAAATATTTTTTATGTATGCAATGAACCAACAGGGATAAACGTTTGTATTCCTAGAAATTCATTACAGCACCATCTATTGAACGTAGTATGATTTACTTTCAGATCGATCATAATATATATGTTATATTTTTAAAACAGTAAAATTATAATTGGAATTTAATAGGAATAAATGATCTTGACTGAACCATTAATATTATAATAATACAATATGCAAATTATTTGCTCTGATAACAATGTATGCTAAAGTCGAGCAACAGAAAGCAATCCTCTGTTCGGTAAAAAGATGGCGATAGTAGTTTCACAAAGCTGGCTCATTTTGATAAGCAAGTAAGATTATATTGTATAAATACAAATATATTGCTATATAACTAAAATTTTTTAAGAATCTTAAAAAATAATATTAAAGTTAATGTTTCCTTTATCTTTTATTTACGTTACACTCACAAAAATTGCGTGATTTAAAAATTTGTAAATTAACAAACTACTTTCTAATGCGATCAGTTAAATTACAACCTGTTATAAATTTTGTGAGAAACTGTATATGAATTCTTTTATAGATCCTCTATACATTTACGGAGTTACAAGAAACTGTCGTCTTTTAACTTCAAAATTCACGGCTGAGCCACGAATCAGCTCTTCGGAAAGCAAACATGTTTCTGATTGTATACCGAACGATACTTCGTAGAATGGCACATAAATTTTCGAAAGGAAAAGAAGAAGCGAAGGATGGTGGCGCGCATAATATGCGCATGCTAAATATAACTTCCAGACTCAACAACAAATTGTTTATTCAAATCATTGCTAAAACATATCGTTAAAAAGGATTTTTGCATGTATTTCAATTTAGCATTATTTCTATTATAAATTGTCTAAATTTTTCGGTATTTTTATCTTTGCTCAGATATTTTGACAGACTTATATTGTGTTAAAAGTAGAAAAAAGCAGTGCCATTTTTTAATAAATATTGTGCTACTAAAAAATTTTATTTTTTTATGACTTAACGCTGTTGTTTGGTATTCATGAGCGCGATAATGACGTTGTTTATAACGACGCTCAACCACGTTCAACTAATGTGAATTGTGATCTTTATGATACAATTATTACCTTATGAATAACTTACAAATCCCAATTTTGATAGAACTTTGATACTCAATTCGCAAAGCAATTATTTCTACTATTCTCTTTAAAATTTGCAACAATGACAAAAGTATTATTTAAAATAAATAACGTTTTTCGTTTAATCTATGAAGTATATGGATGATACTAGCTTTCTCCTGCGTGCAATATTTCGTTTACATCTTCGACGTGTTACAAATTTTACGTGTTGCGATTAACGGACCAAAATACACACAAGCTATGCAACAGCGTACATAGAGAATCCATAATTACCGAGAATGTCGATCAATATATGATAGCGTTATGCAAGCCGGCTGATGATGACTATTGACCAATAACAATTGCATGCGGCTGAGTGCGTGCACAATTAAAACGATTTCAAAACGGTACGACGTGCACGATGCCATTTATGGGAAAACCAACGAATTCAGATGCATTTAAACCTTTATATAGCAAGCAAAATTTTGTCGCGTAAAATACAAATGGTGGTTTAAAATTTACATTATTATTTCATATATTTTTATTAGATTTATTATTACTAGATTTATTAAAATGTAATTTTCCTTAATCTTGTTAGCAATAAATTATTTGTACTATAATAATCAAATATTGAGAAAAAATTTTCTTTAAAAGAAAATTATATTAAATCTAAATATATAAAAAAGTATTATGTATTAATATACTCTAATAACTACTATTTTGAGCAAATTTAAGGGGATACTGGAGTGACAGCGAACTAAACTTAAACGCAAAAGCGCTATTATTTATAAAACTAAAAATTAGATTGACACTTCCGACGTAATATCTCATTTTTGTATATTTGTGTAGTGAGTAATTCAGTACACTGGCGTGTAGTCTGTGTATGTGTGTCGGATAATACTACACACTTAATTAAAGAACAATTTTAAGAACTTACTAAAGAAATATTATTTCAGTCATTATATAAAATACAAAATAAAGATAACTATATATTCAATATGTATGTATATGTATGTATTGATTAATTAATTTATTTATTTATCCATTCATAATATATGAGACGAAATAAGCATATACAAGATGTCAAACAAATGTGAACTAAATATAACAAAATAATATTTGAAAAAAATACATATAATACCATACATCTCACTGAAGAAAAATATTATATGCTTTCCTTACTTTTATATTTATTACATAATAATAAAAGTAAGGAAAGCATATGATATTTTTCTTTAGTGAAATGTATGGTATTATATGTATTTTTTTCAAATATTATTTTGTTATATTTAGTTCACATTTGTTTGACATCTTGTATATGCTTATTTCATTTCATATATTATATTGCAGTCTTACGACGGAATTTCGATGGAGGAAAAGAGTACGAACTTTACAAACTATCTGATACCACGTAAACAGATCACACGTGTAGTGAATCACTAATAAAAAAAATATGCATTTCTTAAAAATTGTCCACATTAAAACAGTCCACGTTACGTCGCCTCTGACATTATTCATTAAAGATGTCAGCCCACGATAAATCACATCTGATTTCATTCATTAAAATTTACCAGCTCACATTAGATCACCGCTGACTATATTTATTAAAAATTGCCAGCCCACGGATAAATCGCCTCTAGCTTTTCTTATTCTAAATTGCCAGCCTACGGATAAATCACCTCTGACTTTTCTTATTCTAAAATGCCAGTCCACGAGTAGACTGCTTCTGATTTTATTTATTTGGGAATTATTACAAAATTATATTGATAATAAAGACTCTCACTGACAAATAGAAAGTAATCTCAATTGACATTGAAATAACTCTTTCAAATAACAACACGCACGTGTTTTAAAAACATCTAAAAGACGTCTTAAAAAATGACGTCTTTTGGACATTTTTCAGATGTCTTTAAGATACGCGTGTTGTCTGGAAAGAAACAGTAACTAATCTTTTTATGCAGATTTTTTTCGTGTCTGTGCTTAGAACGGGACAAATTTTTTATCCCATTATTTTTCTTATATTTCTACCGCACAGCACACTTTAGTGTTAAATATCATATATTTTTATTTATACACACAAAGATAACGTACACTGTGCAGTTTATGGGTAAAATGTTAGAGCACTACAGACAGTGTGTATCAATATTACATTTCTTTTCACTTTATTATCAGCTATTTCTAAATCTCAGTACGGCGGTTCTATCCCGGGAACTAATTTAGTGCTTTTTTCCGTCTACTATATCGATACCTCACGTATCTACACTATACAAAAATATTCATACACCAGTTTCCGATAAACTAAACTTCTAAGCTCAATTTTGAGGATTCTATGTTGTTCTTCTATATAATATACACTGCGGGAATATACGTACAAATTGCATAATTCATGTGTAAAGAGAATATTATCATAAATTGAAGTTCTAAAGGTTAAGAAAAATTCTTTCTCTTTAATTTTTTTCTTTCTTAGTTTCAAGTCTATGCTTCCGTAGTGCATTATTGCATTTTAATCGGAGAAAAAAATTTTTAATTTTATGCAGATAATAAGAAGATTCGTGTGTAAAAAAATCATGTTTAGTCCGTAACTCCAGGATCCCCTTATAATCAGTTACTAATTATTGGTATAAATAAATATTATTTAAATCATTAAATATTGTTATATTTTATTCATTATTATGTACAGTAATTATCTAATTATATAACTGTTTGATATTATATGTACCAACGTTTATACGAACATCGGTAATCAAGTCAAATCGACGTTAGCATATTGCAAAAGTAAATACATTAATAAACATATTAAATATATGTTATATAATTATGTGTACACCTTAAATAGCAGTTACGAAATGCACATTTCATACTCTTCTTGCAGTGTTTGAAACGTTAATACGCATTCATTACGCAAAACGGCATACTAGTGAAGTGGGTTGTAATGCGCTTTTAGTTTGAAAGAAGAAGTATTATTTCTATCCCGGAGGGCTCAAACACGGATCTGCGTGGGTAATTTTCGCTCCCGTTGGAAATTGCAATTAAATCGACAGCGATACAGCAAGCGCCGGTGTTTGCGCTACAGTAAGTTCCTGGCGACACAAAGCAAACAAACGCGCGCGCTTTATTCCACCGATGACGAGCATCGCGCGCGGCCTACAATCCGCTTGCCACATGTGCATCGAGCGCGACGCGCGCGCGCGCCCAGCATTATTATTTTCATTGACAGGGTGCAGCGTGAATCGAAAACCGGATTTTAATCCCTCGTGACAGTGACGAGACGCTGACACGAAGATCCGTAGGAACAATTCGTACCCTCAGAACCCTTCGTCGAGATTCAAAAGGTTTCGGAATTAGCATAAGTGATGCTGTACATGATGTGCGTACAACGTAAGCATAAGGCTGTTTTTAAATAATATTAAAAGAGATTTATTCTCGAAACTATTTGGCCAATATGTTACAGTTTTTCCTAAGTCATTATTTCACAATTCTTTTATTAATAAACATAAAAAAAGATGAAACTTCTAACCTGCGTGTTCATTCAAATTTGTTTTCAATTTAAAAAATCCCAAAAATGTCTATACTGCGTTCTGCAGATAGCTTATAGAACAACTATGTCGAAATGATTGAGCGAGAAAGGCTTGAACTTTATTTCACAAGTTTATAAAATTATAGTGACACTTATTGGCATAAAACGTAACGGCACGCGCTCATGTTTATTAATTAAGCTATAA